GATCTCTTCCTTCCCCAAAAATTCAGTTTAATAAAGTTGAGAAACAGGACGTTTAGAAGTTACAGTTACGTTTCGTTTTGTTTTGTTATGGTAACAGTAACAGTAACTTCTTTTACAACGAAACATTTCCTGTGCAACCAAACATTTCAAAATTGGGCAAAGTCGTTAGATTAGGGAAACATACAAAAAAAGGGGAAATATTACACAAAATATAAAAAATCTACATGAAAATTACAACATCAAGTAAGGCACCATAACACGGAAACCTTTTCTTCTTTTATATATGTTAATGATTTAATGACAAAAGAAAATTATTTTTATTTTAATTCAGCTAATAATAGAAAAATACATAAATAATTTATAAAAATATCCCTTAAACGAAATTGCGGCCAAATCTGGCCGCAATTTGCAATTGTGATTCAAAAATTACAAAAAAAGGTATTTTCCTGCGGTCTCACCACAACCTTTCTTATTTGATAAATGATATTCAAAACACCCTACTTTAATTAAAAAAATTTCGTTTGGGGTTACATATTACAAATAAAGAAATAATATAAAAATTCCTTGAAATTTTCTTTGCTGATCATTTTATTATAAAACAAAATTCCGACGGAATTTGAAATCCTATGGAATACTAATTAAAGGACATTTCTAAAATCATTATTGTTAATTAACTGCTTATTTTTATTGATGTTTTTGTGTTTTGGAAATAGACATAATAAATTATGGAATTAATACTACATGTGGAATTGAAAATTCCCGAGTTTGTAAATCCAAATAAATCCTTTAATGAATTCATACTAAATTTATTATAAATGCCAGAAGTGTAAGAGACTTCAGACAAGTAAACTAAAACAAATACTCCAATAAAAATCAAACAATTTTAAATTTAACAATTAATTTTAATTTCCCGAAACAACTACTTTTTAATAACAAAAATCAAAATGAACCCAAAACAAAATGCTAATATTCTTGATTCCGATGATGGATATTATATTGCTAGTATTACAAGAATATGTGGTGGGCTTTATGATAATGAGTTATCTGAAATTGCTATGTAGATTTCCACACAAGAAGAGAAAGTTAATGTTTCGTTAATTATTTTATTCATTTTTTTTATTTATTTATTTATTTAAATTTGGTTACACGATCTTATGTAGTAGTTTATATTAAAAAGTCAAAAATTGTAGCCTAAATTGGCATCATTATTCTAAGTAAACTTGTTAATTAGAACATATATGATTACATATCTTACGGTTTTGGGCCTGGTTTTAAATGATGAAATTTTTTACTAATCGCAACTTTTCAAAAATCCAAAAATTAATTTTTTTAAAAAAATACATTTATTTCGGTACTAGTAAACTTCAACAAAAGAAATTAATTTATTAAAAATGAATATTTATACATAAATTTTATGGCCTTTTCCATCTAAAGTCAAAAAAAAAATGGAAGTCAGTTGGTAATTTTTTTGTTTATTAGTGGTCTACATTTTTTTAAAAATTGCGGCCAAATCTGGCCGCAATTTCTGTTCGTTTAAGGGATAAGAATTGTCAGAGCACTTGCATGGGAGGAAAATACTTGGACCTAAAGCCATTTGTAAGTATTACCTATTCTTTGGGCACTCTGGCAAAAATCTAACTTTCACTATTACTACTGCTATTATTATCAATGATGATATTATTAATATTTGTATTTTCTTCGTTTTCATTACCTTCATCAACTTCACTCTCCACTTCTTTCTTCTTTTCTTTGTTGACCTACTCCTGAATTGCTTCTATCATTTTTCTTCTAGGATTTGTTTTTCGTTGATAGAAATTTTTTATTGTGGAAGTAGCAACACCTTTTCCCTCTGCAAGTAATTTCCATGACCATTTCATTAAATGAAAAATCGGGCTTCAGTTCAGTCTTTTTGTCAAATAATTGTTTGAAATCCTTCCATAGATTTTCAATTTCTTGTGAATATTGTTTATCATCAGTAAGGTTGCGGGAGAAACTCCTCCAGAAATCAATCAACAGAGTTTTGGCAGGTTACACATTAATTGTTTATTAGAGTTTCGGCAACAGGAGAGAACGTCCTATATAAGGAATAGATTTTCACAATTGATTTCAATTTTTTTTATACACTTTAGAATACTTTTACAAGGGTATTACGTAGCCCATTCTTACAATAAATCATGTGCAAATAATTACACAAATTTGAA